TCGAATCCACCTTTGTTTTTTGTGTTTTTTTACTCGTGGCAGTGTCCGCTCTCAGGAAAAGACCTAAATGAGTTGATTTATACAGTCAAAGTCTTCGAAATTACATCAGAGCAGCTCAGCAGTGAAACATGCCAAAGTCTCCAGCAGCCAAAGTCTCCAAGGAGGCTGAGACCAAGAGGCTGGCCTGATATCACTACCAAAAGACACTCGATGTTTTACTAACTTCTTTTTTTTTTTAACTGCCTCTGAGCTGATTTCATACAGATGTGACTATTTTTTGAATGACAGGAAACCTTTTCATTAAAACCACACGGTAACACAGAGCTGATCATGAGACAGGCGGCATAAAAAAAATAAATGAATCTAATCTGCTGGGATTAAGTCATCATTTTCTAATACATAATAATGAAGTATTAAATCCGAAATTTTAATTGCGGAGAAAATACAACAAGTTTCAGCCATGTCAATTCCAGCCTCTTCGTATGTTTCAAATACTGAGATTTTTTCTCCCCCCCAACTTGGATTTTGACTATTTCCATCGTTGAATAAATGTGAAGCCATCTGATTTACACTACATTCCATTCACATCGAATGACTCATCCAGTCGATGTGATGCAACACCTCTGTTCTGACACATCCGTGTGTTTGTTCTACTGCATAGAATGCTGTTTGTTCCGGGTACGTACTTACTTTCGTAGTACGGATCAGTCTTAGCGTTACAAAAAGGTCCTAATATTGTTGTGCGTGATATATTTAAGAACCTTAAATATAGGTAATCGTGAGTGCGGTATTTTCCAAATTATAACTCACTTTTTTTTTTATCCTTTGGCTGGGTTTGCGACTTATACCTAGTTGTGACTTATAAATTAAAATATATAATTTCACGTGTTTGTTATTCTCACATTAACAGCCGCTAGAGGGCACTCTAGGCTTGTGTACCAGTATCTGCTGCTCCTGCACCACTGAAAATTTGCATGAATGTTATTTTCACACTGACGGCCCTAGAGGGTAACTTTATGTGGCTGGTGCGACTTATACTCCAGAGCGACATATTGTCCAGATAATACGTTAATTAAATGTAGTACTTTCTTAACTATCATTTGGATTTTTGCCAGGTATGTAGCTATTTTTTTTTTAAACTTTTGGCTAGTTTTGGCTAAACCCGAGCTTCTACGGTTATCTTGCGATATAAATTTGTCCATAAAACATGGGCTAGATGTTGTGTTTTTGAGCTCACTGATCTGTTGACAAACTTTTACGACTACACTGCTTCATAGTTGAATTAATTTGCCCCTTGACACAAACGTTTCCTCTGGCTTTACTTGGAGCTTTTTTTTTAGTCTCACTATTGACTTCCTTCTCATGCTCGCCAAGATTACAAGCAACAAAGAGGTACCGTCCATTTAGAATAAAAACTCTCCAGATTTCAGTCAATCCTTGAACACGTCATTAATATGATGATGTGCGGATGACAGTATCAAACGCTGCTCTTCATTTTTCTGCTCTGACCCACAACAGTCTAACGATTATCAGACGGATTCAGGATTCCTGGATCTATCTGCCTTCACGCTGCTGCAACGATCCACAGGCCAAGACAATACATCAAAGTTTAACACGGAATAATAGCGCCGCTGACAGCGGATGATAAAAACGTCCAGCCTTCAGCAGCAGATGATGTCTGAAACAGAAACGGCGCCGCGACTCTCGGTATCTGTTCTGACTGCGAGGTCCCCCCCCCCGCAGAACCACTTCCTCCGTAGAGGAGGACAGACCTGAACATTTCACGTCTGTGATACAGATCTATGCTCTGTACTCTAGAGTCTCAGTGGATATTATTTCCACAGCGGCGTTTGACGCGCCCATGAGGGAGTCAGACATCAGAATATTTGGAGAAGTTCCACGAAGAAGACCGATTAGCCCTCTCTGTACTCTAGAGTCTCAGTGGATATCATTTCCACAGTGGCGTTTGACGCGCCCATAAGGGAGTCAGACATTAGAATATTTGGAGAAGTTCCACGAAAAAGACCGATTAGCCCAACTGTAGGATGATCTTTGAATGACATTACTCCTGAAGATTGTTAAAAGCCTGGGATGGTCAGATATCAGCTCTTTATTTACTGGTCCACCTTAAATCGAACTAGGGACTCTGAGTACTGGTGTTTTTATGTGTGTTTCTGCTGAGCGATGTAGTACCAGACAGATTGAACATTTACTATTCTTTTAATAGAAATGCGAAGGGGAGCAAGAACTTTGTAGGCGGAGATTGAAGCACACCGCTTCTTGATTAGTGGGAGAGCTGTCTGTCTTTTATTTCACCGAGAGAGTTTTTTTTTTTTTTTTTTTTTTTTAAAAAACCTCCAGCCACAAACATGAGTATAATAGAGCCCAAATGAGACCCTTGGCTGAAAGAACTGCACTGAAACATGGAGACGAAGACAAGAGTCTGTAGGGATCTTAGGGATCTTAGAGGAACTTATTTGGATGATCTTAACTGAAGGTTTTTTTTTTTTACAAATACAGTTGAAACAGACGTTTCAGGCTCTGAAACGAGTATAAAAGAAAGAAAGAAAATGGCAGTGACAGTGGTCTAGATCAGCAGCCCCCAACCTTTTGTGTACCAAGGACCAGTAATACCGCTCCATCATTGTAGGATGATAAAAATTGTCAAAATAAAACATCTTTTAGGCTTGATTCCGTCAGTATCAGATTCTGAATGACCTGTTGTTTTGAAACATTATCAGATTATCTTTAAATGGAAGAAGTAAAGGGATATGACTGGATTGTTTTTGAATGAAGTAAATTAGTAAAACTGAAGTACTTTTTTTTTTTACTGTGTCCCACGGCGGCCTTGTACCAAATGACCCATGGGCTGGGGGTTGGAGACCCCTGGTCTAAATGTCAGTGGCCAGATGTCTTGCTGTCAGGGAGGTCAATGATAAACTCCACAATGTAAAAAAAAAAAAAAAAAAAGTGCTGTATCACTACAGACCATTCCCCAAATACACCTCCCTCCTACTAACAGTTCCTGGTACTGTGTTCCGTGTTGCTGAGAGACTCACTAAAATATATATATATATTTCAAATACAATGGCTGTTTGATTTGCCTGTTGCTGTCACACTTCAACATTCACCGACATATTTAAATATATAAAAACCGACGCACCCTGTGTGTCCATTTCCTTTTTGAATATCAGACAGGTTTAGATCTTCAACACATACCCCCCCCCCACACACACACACACACAAGTACAGAAACAGACTGTTTGCATCTTCATTCTCAAACACACATGGACACACACAGATGACTGTGAGTAGCAGAAAAAACCCCAGTCAAAAAAAAAGCGTTTGTGTCAAGATGAAAAGGCTTCACACACACTGCCTACATGCAGAGCTTCTTTCCGACACCTTCCCGCTACAGCTCGTACCGTAGCGGAGGCAGCTCGTATCTCTCCCCACACCCATCAACGCCGAGCATCTCTCCCTTCTGTTCCACTCCCTTTTCTCTCTCTCTCCCTCTCTCTCTCTCTCTCTCTCCGTTCAGCCCTGTGATGATGCCACGGCGGCGCCCCAGCATCGCCGTTCACTCAGACTCTTAACAACGTTGAGGGATAAGGACAAGCCCGAGCCCCGGGGCTCGTCGTCTTGGCAGTTGATCTGAAGATGATACTTCGCCACACGCGCGTGGAATGAAAAACGACACCGACCGTGATGCTACATAATTGCTTCCCATTCGCTCATGTGCTCAGAGCCCTGGACGAAAATAGCATGTCGCTGCAAGCAGCAGTGTGCTGGGAAACCTGGGAACTGTGAGTGCAGTGGCCGCGGATCGATACCGGGGCATAAAGTCTGCACAGCGTCCTTAATCATAAGATGAAACATCGAACAGCTGACCGATGCCTCGAATCAATACTCACGCAGATGAGTCGTACACGTACGCCGGGGTTTCTAACAGCTACTGTCTGTGAATCCTCAGGCCACCATAGATGGTAGGTAGGTGATAATCCTCAGACTGCTCCGGGGCATTTGCACAGGCTTTAAGTGTTGTTTTTTCACACTCAAACGTTACCTGCATCACATGT